GATTAAGAAAAATAATAGCTGGAATAATTTCGACTAAAAAGGAACTTATTAAGTGGATTCCTACAAGGACATTCTCTGAAATATAAATTATATAATTTTGCGTATCAGTAGTAACTACCATCAGCCTAATGCGGTTTCTCAAATTTCATCCATCAGCTGTAGGTACACAGTGAATCTTCCATCTGATTCAATAAAGTGCTACTCAAAGAGTGACAAGGTCCAGGGGTGGATGGAGGAGGTCTGGGGACAACCAAAAAAAAAAAAGAAAAGAAAAGAAAAAGAAATAGCAGAGCAAATAAATTCCTCTAAACAAAATGCCAAAACAAATGGGGGAAGAAAAGGTTTAGGTTCATTGATGAAAAGAAGAAGATGGGAGAACAAATAAAGATCTAGCAATCACTATAATCTGCCCTAAAAAATCTAAGCTAAATCAAATGGCATGACACACTGTAATGAGCTATGGAGCCCAGAGATTATCAAGTTAAGCAACTGCAAGTAATGAAAGCAAGAAAAAACTTCTATTGACATGCACATCACATGAAAAGAAAAGATGCATAGATGCTTAACGTTAACGACATGTAACATAAAAATAATACAACAAATTGGAATTACCCAAGTCCATCAATGTAAAAACAACTATCCATTGTGAAGGCTGACAAACTATGTTCATATTAAATCCCAAAAATTCAAAGCACTCAAATAAAACATATATCACTTCAGCCACAAAAGTATCCATCTTCATTTAAAAACTAGGAAGAAAAATAGAAGGGTCAAAACATTTAATACCTCATAAGATTCCTCATTTCTTTCTCAGCCCAAGTCTTGACCATTTTTCTGGGATTGTGCTTGCAATATCCGTATCTGAAACGATAGTCACCTTGTACATACCGATCTCTATCCCTGTCATTCAGAATAGCACACTGCAAGATTAGCATGTCATAGATTTGTAAGGGGCAGCATAAATTACCAAAGAAATGTGATTTGTCAGAATTCAAAAGTAGAAAGAAGAAGAAAACCATATTTGATACATAACTAGCCTTCCAAAAATCCAAAAGAACAAAAAGCACAATAATAAGATCTTATTTATAGGAACACAGCATGAGAATCTTAATCCTATTTCAATTATACCAGAATTAAGGTATGTTCCTCCCCTTCACATAAAAAATTCATCATAAATTCAGTTGCTTTCATTTATGTCAGAATATTGCAACTATCTCACAGAATTGCAAAGACTAGAATATCAATGCGCACAAGGAAAGCCAAGTAACATTTGCTAGAAACAAATTAATCTTGCCCCCAAACTTGCCCAATTTTGATTTGATAAGAATTTCTAATAACTTAACAAATTATATGAACTTATACATCAATTAAACAGAAACAAGGTTCACCATGCATACTTAAATACAAGAACTGAAGTTTTGTAGACTTTGATTGCAAGTTCTTGACCATCAGGTTTTGTAGCATGATAAACATTGGCCTGTAGGGATAGAAAAGGAAAAGAAGATATGTCAACACAAGATCACAATCAGAAACGAAAATTTCTGGGAGAAAGTTCAAGTCTGATTGATAAACAAAGAAACATCATAATTGACTTTTAGATTCTCAGTGCTCAGTAGTAACATACTTCCTTTCCAGTAGAAATGCAGCCATTAATATCATTAAATATGCCCCGATTCAGCATTTTGAATAAAACCATGCGAGTTCTTGGGTCAATAGCCTGAAATTAAAGGAAAAGGCTAGTTCAATGAAAGGCTTGTTAAAGCTTCTGAACAGAATTAAGTATGAAAGAAAGTACAGTGCCTACCTGGATGAAAATTCACAGTTAATACAGTAACTATTGTATATATCCAATCATAAAGCATGCACAGAAATTTTTTGTATTTAAGTCACCAAGTCAGAAACACAAAATGGTGAAAGCATACTTCGATTTATAATGGAATTTTGGTCCCTTAGCATGAGAGAAAGGAAAACCTAACAAAATGGCATTAACTGAGTAAACATAAGGTTCTCAACCCCAAAATAAATAAATAAATGAACAAATGAAACATTTGGTTAAGGCAACTGATCTTCTACCTACAAGCTCAAATATTTTACCTGTTCAACAGTTGCACGGTCCGCTTTTTCTGTACTTTTGGTTTTTCCAATGGCCATGTCACGTACACTCTCACGAATTGCAGTTGTAACAGAGTTTGACATACCAACATTCACTCTTCCTTCCCATTCCTGTACCATCAAGACATTCTAATAACCTTAAATGCACACAAGCATGCAGGGAAAATAAAGTAAAAAAAATAAACTTCTAACTGCCAATTATCTTAAAATAGATGGAGGCAGCATGGACGATCAAGTCTTGCTTCTAACGTCCAAAGATCTCCATCTTAAGAATTGGTGAATACCTTTTTTGCATTGGCCATACTCAATTCCAACCGAAATTGAATCTCAAGATTTATTATATAACTAGGAAATTATAAAATTAGGAAAAAGAAATCATGCATTCTGATCTTTTGCTTATAATTTTGGTAGGCAACTCATCTCTTACTTTCAAGAAAAATATTAGAAACTTGGAAAACATTTTAAACCAAATACGAGAAAGAGCATGGAAAGAGTGTAGCATACATTCCCAGTATTTACTACCTCATTTCTTTTTTTTTTTTAATGGACCAAAAAAATATTTCAAGACATTAACAAAACTGAAACAACGTGCCAGAGGAATGAGCAGAAGATTAATTTCATACAGTCAGCATGCCAAAAGAATACTGGATTCCAATTTCATCCATGGAAAACTCTTAATTGAAACAATAGCACATAGAGAAAACCAGTAAACAACAAAGAGAATGCTAGCATATTATTACCAAACATGTTACAGAATTACCTCCAGTGGTGAAGCTCTGATGTGACTGGTATACTTTTGGTTCCTGTTTGACAGAGGTTGAAGAGAAGATGCATTAGGGCGAGAGTGAAGCCCTCCATGAGCATTTGGACGCCTTGTGTGCAGTGCTACAGCTCCATCCATTATTTCTGAATCATCCTTCGAATCCAAATAATCCAAAGCCTCTCCAATTTCAGAATCTGAGGACCAAGATAATTCTTCCTCGTCATCTTCTTGATCTTCGGATTCATTTACTGCCTCTACTTTCTCTACAGAAGAAGACATACTATATGGTACGAATGTCAAAATGCTGTCTTTCAATTCCAAAGCCTCTGCATTTTTTTTCTTTTTTTTGCTCGGGTTGGATATTCAACCTGAAAGAAAATTTAATAATACAAATTACATTGAATAGTTAATCGTTAATCAAGGAGGAACAAGCAGAAACGATTCAACATAGAAAATAAGCTCCGATACACGAAATGCCCTCTCTACAACGCCATAATTAAGCTCTGATACACGAAATAATTTGTGCAAGAAAACGACTTTGATGCTCAAACAGACTAATGTTTACATAAATGTTGAGTGCAAGATATAGAAGAGAAAGAGGACCTGCAGATGGTGGAGGAAACTATAGGATTGATAAGTGGCGGCGGTGGCGGTGGCGGTGGCGGACTGTTGGTGCAGCAGAAGGAGAGGGAGGGGACTTAGATGAAAGAAGGCGGCGCGAGTCTTTGTTGTATTGGCATCAGGAGTTCTCTAAATTAATTGTGATAATTTGATAAACCTCCTCTGAGATTTTTAATAATTTCACTTAGCTCCTCTAAATTTTTAAAAATACTAACTCATCTCCCTATCAACATTTTGGGACCTAATACTTGCATCATTAACAGTAAAACAACACTAGTGTCTTAAAAATTCAATATTATATCTTTACACATATTTGTAGAGAGAAACAAGTAAAATGCTTTGAACCAAATTAACCATATTTTGAATTTTTAGAAATCAACTAATTGGCTAAATAAAAAGGGAAAAAATACTAGATGTGTTTAATGCACTTGACCGATAAAGGAATCATATATGATGTACCAAATAAATAAAAGGATTCAAACACGAGCAATAATTGAGCCATAATTAACCATAATTTTGTTATGCTAAAAAATTAATTTGACATTAGAAAAGGGTTCCAATATTATGCTTGCTTTTTTTATGTACTTGATGATTAAAAGGAATTAGACGTGAGGAGGCTTTGGTTCTATTGTTTACCATGGTGATAACTAATAACAAGAGTCTTAAGGTAAGAAAAAATTTTTTGTTTTATTAAATTTTAAAAGTTATTACATTTTAATTACATATGGTAAAAATTTTTGGTTAATCATGTGTAATAAATAATAAGTTAGATCAAGTCATTAAATTAACTATTATTACATGTGAGGGACATTTTTGAAGTCAAGTGATCTTCTTACACCTAAAATTAAATTACTTTTTTATTGTTACTTTTTTGAATTGGGATAAATTGTTACAAGATATGGGTTTTATGGAAGGTTAGTGATTATTTTCAAAATCTTAGGGGGATTATAGTGAAACTTTTAGAAACCTGAGGGGATGTTTTTGAAATTATCCCAATACCTAAAGAAGATGTTGACAAAAGCGTGGTCACTTAGACGTGAAAGGTTCGCGCCTCTATGAGACACTAGAAAGCCATGCACATATTCTCCTCTTTCTCCTCTTCCTCCCAATTAGTAGTATTGGAGGGTGGGCGGAGAGGAGGATCTTTTTTTCTTTTTTTTTTTTCCCATTCTGGCTCTAATATTCGAATAATTTTTCCCCCAACCAGTTCAGATTAGGATGTTCAGTCTTAATTCCCATCTTTTTAACAGGTTGAATACTTTTCTACTCAAGGAGTCATAATTTACAGTAAAACTCGACCATTTGCGTGAAATCTTTGACCAAAATCTATTTCTAATTTCTGCAATAAATTTCCTTTAACCTAGTGGATTGTTCTGCAAAAGACATTTCAAAAGTTTTAGTTAGCTTTCACCCTTATTTTTCTTCTTGTGCTTGCTCTATATATTGAGACTAAGCCCTTTTTTTTTTGGGTCTAAAGGGAGGAAAAATACTGGTTCTCCACTTTCTGTTCATCACCAAGTAAGTGTCCATGTTACTACCAATCCTTAGTACTGAACAATGTGAATTTACAACTGTCGCTGTGTTGCAACCTATGTTTTCAGAACCGGACCGGATAGCGACTCGGCCGAGGTCAGGGGTCAGGGGTCAATGGGTTCGACCGGGGGTCGATAGGGGTCGAACCGGATGACGTCATAAATAAAAATTATTTTAAAATTAAAATGTTATATATATAATATCTAATAATATATTGATATTAATAAAGGCATATTCATATATATTTGATGTTTCAAATATATTTAACAAGAAAATACAAAGAAATTAGAACAATCAAGTAGCAATTTATATTATTTAATAAATATTAACAAGTTTAGAATTAAAATTATGAATTTAATTGAAAAATAACATCAAATTTTAGGACAATATTTATAAAGTATCAAATATTTGAGGTATATCAATAAGTTTTAACAATTTAGGGGGTCAAAACATAATATTAAAAAGTTTGAATTTTTTTTTTAAAAAAATACTGTTGAACCGGAAAAACCGGTTTTTTCCCGGTCAAACCCGGTCAAACCCGGTTTTTGACCGGCTTTGACCGGGTTTTAAATTTCCGGTTTTCTAATGTGACTCGGACCGGCTACCTGGCCGGTTCCCGGTTCAACCGGTTCGACCGGCCGGTCCGGTCCGAGTTTGAAAACAGAGGTTGCAACTCTAATCTTATGATGACAGATTTTCTTTTGAAGAAAAAATTTACTTGTTTATGTTCATGTCAGTATAGAAGACTTAGCTGTTGTTTGTAGAATCATCCATTAATCTCAATTCCTTCTCTTTCAGGTCCAGAAAGAGCGACTCAAGGCACTCTTGATGTTTGGAGCATTGTTTCCTCCTAAGCTTCGAGCTGCCCAACTTCAGTTTGAGACAGGTAGACAGAGAAGAATATGTATCACGAAATTACAATAAATCAAAGGATATGATGCTTTTGTTTCTTCATGCAATATTTTTTTCTTTTAAAATTTATGTATATGAGCTTTATTTTACATCTGGGAATACTTGGCCTTTGTTTCTTTCTGTAGTCTATGACCTATGTAAACTTGCCTCAAACACCTGTACCCCTTGGGTGCAGTGAGGGTCCTTTTTCTGATTAATGCTTGACTCCTAGAGTTTGGATAAATGTCTTTAGGATGACAGTCTACTCATTTGACCGAATGCAGTGTGAAGTGCTCGTGCTGTATTAGTTGAATACATGGTTTTAAAAAATTTTTTCTCTTCTAATCATCAATGGACTCCTTGGATCTTTCTTGTGCTTTGCTATCCTGAAAAAATGTTGAACCAAGTCCCTCTTTGTCCAAGTAATGGATTTGCAGCTCACTGCTAGAACATGGACACTCTTCAACCAAGTGAGCTTTTAGTCCCTTCTCCTAAATCCCTTTGCATTTGATTTGGTATTATGTCCTTTTCATTTATGTGCAGCGCTGGAAACACTTGTATATATAACAAATGTGCGAGCATCAACGTGCTTATGATCAAGCGCAAAAAGAGATGGAGAGCCCATCCAGTGATGAAAAGTTGATTCACAACTAACGTAGCCGTGTGTTCGTTAAATACGTGTTCTTGACTGAAAGATTGTTTCATATATAGTTAATTGATTAGCCTATGGTTTATCTTAGGTGAAAGAAACAATTAAAGGGTTCAATAAATATGGTCTCTTCCTGCAGGAATCGATGACAGCTTTTGATGGTAAGCCATTACTGTACGCTCTATCTAGTTTCCATTTTGTAAGGAAACTTAACACTGCAAATGTATTGTGTACATTCTTCTGTTTACCATCAAAGTATCAAATTTATGAGATAATGCCTCAAGGATGTTTGATAAGCATACCTAATTAGACATTGACTTTGTTCCATATTGATTGTATCATATTGATGTCAGTTCAGAAAATTTGACACTTGCTGTTTTCTCCTTGTAGTGAATTGCCCACTTGTTCTGGATTTGTGGCTTTAGGATGATCTGTTGTATAAAAATTACGGCGATTCTGGAGTTGGTAAGGGGGCTTCAACAACAGAGGATTCTGCTGATAGAGATGAAAGCTACCAACTAAATGTGTTTGCCTGCCAAAAACTGAGTTTAACTAAGCTAACTCTGCTGCAATCACATGTATCTAAATGCTTTCTCAACTTGAGATGATAGTATACGGTTCACAAAATGACAGAAGATCGATAGGAAAGAACTCTTCTAGCCATCCCATCAACATATGCCCCAGAGCATCTAAACTAGACTAGTTACAATTAACTTAGTGAAGGACCTTAAACATGTTTGCTTGAAAGTCTCACTTTCACTGACAAGATTTACAGCTTATTGTCTATATATGCCAAATTGGATTATTTGGCAAAGAGGGTAAAATGTTTCGTACCTCCTCACCATATAGCTGCGGTCCAAAAAGTCAAAGAAGACGGTAGTGTTGTTGTAAATAAATGAGTATTTTAAAAGATTTTGTTTCAAAAGATTTTGTTACACGTCGAAAATCTAAAGAGACTTTCCATTATTTTATAATGCTTAACTTCATATTGGATTTGTGTTAAATTAGTAATGAATGCGAATTTGCGTATATGAAAGGAAAGTTGAGTTGGATCTTTTCAACACAAACTGATGGATTTGCACCCCTTAAGCACCGCTTGGTCTAGTTTTGCTTCTACTTATTTCAAAGTTAAGTTTTATTACTAGATTTTATCTCTTAATGTTGGTTCTGTTACACAAATTAGGCACAGTTAAGTTTTATTGCTGGTTTATGACTAGATTTTATCTCTTAACGTTATTTCTGTTACAAAAATTAAGCATGTTGTTTAACGCTGTTACAGAAATTAGGCATGTTGTTTGGCACAACCTTCTTCTTGTTATAGAAAGTTTTATCCCTTATCTTTCTCTAACGTATTCTTTTTCATGCCTATAAATATCAGGTACTCCTACTTTAAAAAGTGCGCTCAGAACTCACAGTAGAAACCTTCCTGTCAGCTCACTTTCTCTCCTTTTTTCTCTCTATTGTCTCCTCCTCTATGCTGGATTTATACAACTTTTGCTAGTTTTGTTCTTTCTTGTTTATAAGAAGAAGACTTGTTTAATCCGGAGAAATATACCAATTTCCTGAAATAATTTTTTAGTACAGTGCTATTAAGCATGACCCAAACTTCCTCAAATTATATCTACAATTTTGCTAGCATTGTTCGGTCTATTTTTTACAACAAGTGTAGCCAAATGGCATCAAGATGAGGGTATCGCAAGAAAAGTGCCAGAAGCTATTTTGACAGAGGAGTGAAGTCCAGGAGAAGAGGAAAGCCTTTCACGTCCAGAAAGGAATTCTGAGGAACATTATAATGCTATCTATTACTCTTCATTAAAGCTTGAAAGGGTGATAGGTGACTAGGGCCAGTGAGTGCCCGTGAATCAATGCTGTCAAAATTCTTAGTGCTGGTGGAGGGAAGCACGTCGACCATGAATGACCAAACAAACTCGTGAAGTAAAAGACTCCCAATGTCCCCCTTTCACTTGCAAAACTTGTGCCCTTTTGTCGTCATTTTTCTTCCCTTCTTTCTTCTTGTGCTGGAAAAGTATGGGACAGTTTTTGTCGGTATGGAGTCAGACAAATTATAGACATGAAAAATTATTTTTTTGGCTTGGTTTTTCATTCATGCATGACTAAATGAATAATCCATTTGATAATTTAATTCAGCATTTAAAATTAATAGATTCAGATTTTAACTTGTTCAAATGCATTTGATAAAAAAAATTAAAATATTTGAATTAATTAAGCGGCACTAAATTTTTTTGGCAAAAATTGTTCTAAATAAAAGTGATAAACTATTCGCTTATTATTTAATACGATACATAATCAAATGTATTAAATTTAGAACGTAACAATTCAGTAACTTAGTGAATTTAAATTTCATATTTTAGTTTTTGAATTTTAATTTTATCAAACGCACCCTAAATCATGTTGTTCACGCTACAACGGATTTCATTTTTTTCCCATTTAGAAGCAAAGTAGGGATTTTATAAGGGGAGTATCTTAAAAAGTGCTTAATTAACCATGGAGGGGGGGGGGGTGTGTGTGTGGAATTGATGGGTCAAAAGAATAAAGAAAGTCATTTTAGTTGAAAAATTGGACTATATTCGATTGTGAAAGAAAGTGTTTGAACTTGTCTTGGCTGTTGCTAAATTGAGATATTCGGTGGAAATAATGTGAGGATACATGGAGAGAATTAGAGACGTAGGATCCACGTTAGATCCTAGTACAAATCTTTTGACAAATTGTACATGATCATGAACCAATTTAAAGAAGACATACAAAAATTGCATGAACATGAAAATTTAAATAAGTTTGATGCTTTATCCCATGATCTAAATCCCGTTTGTTAATTTCTCTATTCTCTTAAAACTCAAATGTTAACCAAAACATACATATATAATGCTATTAATTTTTAGTTTGTAGTATAAACACGATTTGATTGTAGAGTTTTCACGAAATAATTGACTTGAATAACAAAATACTACTATCTATGGTGCAAGCTGGAGAGTTAAAAACAAACAATTATATTTTATTACTTCAATGGGAATGAGCACGACCAATACTTTTGTTGAAGCACACTGGTCCACTTGTTCTATTGTTCTAGAATAACCATCCAGCACAATTTTTTTTTTTTTTTTTTTTATAAAATCAACACATGCACTAAAAATTATAGATCTGTAATTGAACGTATTCAACGGATTTTGAAAAATTGTCAAAAAATCTAAAAAAATGCAAAAAATTTCACAATTGTTAGATATTAGACAATCTAATATTAATTTGAAAGTAACCAAACAAAGATTTGCATCAATTTTTTAATTTTTATAAGGTGTGCCAGAGCTGAAACAAACAAGAAAGAATCCCCAATTACATTTCTAAGTTCCAAACTTCACTGCCATCATTTACTTGTTTAGTAGCCATACAAGAACTTATTTTTTGGGTCTATAAAGGTTAAAATCTACATTTCAAAGTTAAATTCTACATCAAATTGTTGTTTACCAATTGATTTTTGGCGAATGTAAGTATGGAATAGTTGGGTTTTGAGAATTGAATACATCATAAAGCACTAAAAGCCCCTCACTGGGTAGCTCGATTGGTCACGGGAGTCTCCTCAGGATCCGTTGTCCATTCTTCCTCACCAGAGATCGAGTTCCAGTGATTACCGGTTCGAGGGGATGGAGCCTCTTCTCTCGGGTCTCAGGAGAATTAGTCGAGTCCGACATACCCGAAACCCGGATACCCCTGAATAGAAAAAAAAAAAAAAAAAAAGGCACTAAAAGTGGGGACTGGACTTGGAGTGGCAGTCCAATTAATCAATTGTCATGGTCCTTGAAAGGTCAAAGTAGATGAACCTTAAAATTGGTCAACTGCACAAGCCATCGCCTTAGTCCGTTTCACACCATTCATTCAGGTATGGTCTGGATGGACGGCGACTCAAAACGCGCAAACGACTTCTCTTGTGCGCTCATCCGTCGCGTCATATAAAGGAAAAGTCAAAGCTAAAACTCGTGCTGCTGGTATATAATTGTGCACAAAAGCGTTCAGTGTGACAGCCCAAGTAGTCTAGACGCCACCCAGACGCAAAAGTCAGCGCAAGGCGTCATTTTCTTGCTTGCCTTTGTACAGGATAGGCAATTCCAATTTCGGATACCCCAGTGGTGCCTTGTTGATTAATTAAGGTTTTGCCTAATCCGGAGTCTTGGGCAAGAAATTAAATGAAATTAGAATTGGAAAATTATCTAAGTACTAGAATAGTCAATGTGATTGTGTACATTTTGGGTGGCAAAATCTTTTTGTACAAGTAAATTGTCCACTGCATATTTGGTACAAAAATCTTTAAATTAATTGCAGGTAAATGATTCTGCCCTGTACATTCTTATTAGGATTTTTGTAAAGAGTACCCAATTATTATAGACATTTTGTTAATACATCTAAATTCCATCCAACTAGTTATGTATATATTCACACTAACAATTGTTACCCTCCATTGTATCTATGCATTTTTTTCTAATTAATTTTATATTTCTAAAAATCTAACACTTGAAGTATATCTTAACGAACGTCTAATAGGCACGCTTTAGACAGACCCTTTTATTATTTATAAGAGACTATTTTATTCAGTATGATAATACTTAACTTAATGATGGCAAAAGTATTAAAATATTATTAATTGAACTTTTGAAATATTTTCTGTAGATTTGTTATTAATACATTAATACATATGAAACAAAAAATTCTTCTGAGATTCATTATTAAACATGATAAAAACGCTATCTTATAACCTTTTTAATCTTATTGACATGTTTCCCTAAAAAAATATTACATTAATATTTTTTCTGCAGTTTTTTCTGATAAACTTTGTCCAACTTGATATCATCTCATATTTAACCCATTTAATGAACAATTCAGGACAACTATCTTGGTGAAAATCATGTTGGTCTTAGTTTCTTACGCAAGAAACAAAAAAAAAAAAAAAAAACCATACAATTGAAAACCTTGAACAAATCAAAAATCATGTAAAAGAAAAACTATCAAGAACACATGGATTGTTCTTGTAGAAAGACAAAATTGATTACAACCCTCAGAGGCTTTAAACACAAAGTGAATGTAAACTATAAATTTTATTTAATTCATTTACAGTGTCCATAAGAAAAAAGGAAAAAGAAAAAACATGGTTGAATTGTCCATGTATAATAATCACTCAAATTATCAAGTGTAACAAGGAGTGATGTACTTTTCTTTTGATTGAAAAAAAAAAAAAACTTCACAATATGGGATTGTACACCTGCAATTTGTAAGGTTAAATAAATACTTAGCATACAATTGGATTTACAATTAAGTTATTTTGCATTTTATTTTTAATTTGTGT